TATATATATATATATATATATATATATATATTTTTTTTTTTTTTTTTTTTTTAAAGATGACCGGTAAGGGGATCTTAACCCTTGACTTGGTGTTGTCAGCACCACGCTCACCCAGTGAGCTGACCGGCCATCCCTACATGGGATCCGAACCCATGGCCTTGGTGTTATCAGCACCGCACTCTACCGAGTGAGCCACGGGCCGGCCCCTTATTTATATATTTTGAACCTGGAATCGCAGATTCACAAATTGCTGGCTGGGGGGACTATTTGGAGGGTGGTGGGATTTACTCAAGGGAATGAGATCCCCCTTCCTCTCTCCCTCAAAAAACGTGCCACTGCCTTCTCCTACCAGCTTCCGGGATACCTATTCTCGATTTTATGTTTCTAGACAAGCCTTTAGCTTCCAATCCTGGCTCGGAGCATCCGCTTGAGTATGCATGAGATGAAGCCGCAGAAAAATTCACTTGCAGTTCCAGATATTACCCACCTGCAGCTATTTTATTTGAAGAGATGGGACTCCATCCACCGGCCGCTGAAGAAATACACCCACCGTAGCCTATTTGTCTCCCAGTGCTAAACTGCTGGGTGGCGGTAGGCGAAATTGTGGGTGGTCCGCTGAGAGCATCTGAATCGTCCCCACCCTGGGCCTCAGAGGAGAAGCAACCTGCTTCGGTAAGCTCCAGGTGCGCTAAGCCAGAGGTGCTAGAGGATTCGAGGCACCCGGGTCTCTCCCCTGTGCACCATCAAGGGCTTTCTAGAGACTCAAGGCCCGACCTATTCAGCTACTTTTGGACCGGAATCCTAAGATTTGCAACCATCCCAACGCTAGGCATAGCACTGTAGGCCTCCTGCAACGGGTGTCTGGGCCAAGCCCCCAGGGTGTCACGCCCTCCAACCCGAGGTCACACGGCGGCCTTTTGTCCAGAACACCAGCCAGAAATGACAGCAAGACGCCTATGCCTTGCCTAAGGTGCCCTTCACGCAGGGCCCGAACTGAGAGAAGAGTACAGAGTCCTTGGGGATGAAGGCAGTCCTAACACTCATTCCATCCCTCGCCGTTTTTTCAGGAAAAGGCTGCTGTCAGAGGCGACATCGGCATTCTGACCAGGAAGCCCCCGCGGGAAACTGGGTGCGTGATTTTACCGGGTGTTCAAAGAAACGATTCTCCACGTCCAGCGCAGTCACTGCAACCCAGACACTTTTGACGGGTCCATCTTCCCCTAATCCTCTTCCCCAAGTGCCAAGATCAGGAGGGTTATCTTGGGTCTCTTCAAGGGCTGCGCTGTTCAGTCAATTCAGGTCTCAAGACAGGCCCCATCAGACACGTGAAATTCCTCCTGCACTTGCTTAGCCTACAAAGCTCTCAAGAAGAGCAGAAGGACGAGCCCGACTGAATTCTGGGGATCTATCTCTCTTTGTTGGGTCTGAACACCAGAGATAAAGCGTCATCTTCCTACGTTAGTAGGTAATGCTTTAAGCGCGAAAGAAAAACCCAGAAACAGAAATATAGTGATATTTAGAGAATGAAGACGTGAAAATGTTTCAAGGAATCCTCTCTGGTGTCCAAACCACGGGGACCAATCTGTTCTTGGGTGTTGTGTTCATGGCTGCATTAATTAAGGCACTTACTAACGCCGCCTGTGCTCAGCTGTCTTGGACAGGTAACAGAAGAATCTGGAAGTGCGGCGGCCAGAGGGAGGGAACCCAATGGCCAAGGTTCAGGATGTGAGGAGCTTACTTTTTAGCCCTTGAAGTATCAGTTCGTTCTTCTGCGAGAGGTACTGTCCTCGTGGTGGATCTTCCTTACCTCTCTGGGACTGTCCTCACGTCCCTGGGTCCACCGTTGACTCCGGTGTCTTCCCAGCCCGGAGCCCGGAGCCTGTCCTCCCTCCTGGCGCGCTGGGGAAAGGGCGGGTCCAGAGGGAACAGCCACTCGGAGAGCAGCCCAGGGACCGGAGCACCTGCGCGGCCTCGGGGGTAAGCCGGCACTGCCGGGATCCGGAGGCGAGGACTGGGTCCAATGAGAAGTGGGGAGGGGCTGGCCACAAGGCTTTGAAATTCAGCTCAGGCAGCCGCCGCTTCCGCCGCTCAGCTCCGACGCGGCCTTGGCGTCTACCGAGCTTCCCAGGCCCCGCGAGGCCGGCGGCAGCATGGACGCTCACAAGCAGTTTCCGACGCTCGTGCAGCTGGAGCAGCGAGAAGGGACGCTATTCGAGGTGCTCGATAACCTCAGCAAACGGCCCCACTGGTTCCACTCCGAGTTCCTGAAGAGTCCGAAGGCAGTCCACCTGGAGGCCTGGCTGGTGGAAGCGATCTTCCGTGAGTGGGCCGGGGAGGGGCGGCGATACGGCCTACATCCCTCACCCCTACACCTCCCGGTCTGGCCGCATCCCAGAGGAAGCCTCTCCAGTGACCCTGGCCCCAAGCCAGTGCCCCCCAACCCCGCTCTGCCTCCCTCCGTCCGCCTCCTTCCCTTCCGAAGACCCCAGGAGCCACCTCGTCCCTCATGGCCTCTCTGCTCCCCACGCAGGCCCGGGCGGAGAGGACATCCCGCACGTCGAGTGTGCGTCCCACACCTTGCTTCGCGTGAATCAGTGGGACCCTGAAGGCGAAGCTGAGATCTTGATATTCGGGCGGCCTTATTACCAGAAGGACGTATCTGAGATGATCATGAACTTGGCAGACTATCACCGCCGGCTCCGGGCGCAAAGTACGGGTCCGGGAATTGGGAGGGCCACCTGGAGCAAGCCATGGCTCCTTGGGAGGGATCCTGATGTTTCCTGGCTGCCCGGGCAGTGGTCTTGCCCTCCCAGTCGGCCCGGAAGAGGATTTCCTCTTTGCAAGGTATCTAGAAGGCCAAATTGGGCCTGCGTTCTAGGATTCTGGACCAATACCCCCACAGCCCGCACAGGTGACTGTCCTTTTGTGGAAAGGGTACGGGGACACAGGTGTGGCCTCCTTACGCTGTTCTTCTTCCAGGCTCAGAGAAGGCCCATGGCCAAGAGGCGCCTGCTCCGGAAACCGAGACCCAGCAGTTTCCTAATGCTGTCCGGGAGGTCGGGACACAGTGGTCTCCAGACGCGGTGCAGGAAGCAGAGACCCAGCGGTCTCCCCAAGCTGTCCCTGAAGCCGAGACTCTGCAATATCCGGTAGAGACCCGTGAGGCTGAGACCCAGCGGTCTCCCCAAGCTGTCGCTGAAGCCGAGACTCTGCAATATCCGGTAGAGACCCGTGAGGCTGAGACCCAGCGGTCTCCCCAAGCTGTCGCTGAAGCCGAGACTCTGCAATATCCGGTAGAGACCCGTGAGGCTGAGACCCAGCGGTCTCCCCAAGCTGTCGCTGAAGCCGAGACTCTGCAATATCCGGTAGAGACCCGTGAGGCTGAGACCCAGCGGTCTCTGGTCGAGGTCCGGGAGGCCGGTACCCATTGGTCTCCCGAGGCTGCTGGCGAGACGGAAACCCGTTGGTCTCCCGAGCCTGCCCAAGACCCGGTTACCAGGTTATGAAGGCATGACAGGCCCAGAACGAGAGCCAGGCAGGGACTAAAGTGGAAGCCCCCTTGAACCTTATTCTTCTAGATCCTACTTATGCCCCTAAGACGGGAGAGAATGGTATGGGTTTGTTTTTGTTTTTCCCTTCTGTTAAACGTTTGCAGACACGAACTTGAGTGTTCTAATAAAGAATTGCATTTCCCTAACGTGTGTTCATTGGAAGGTAGAAGGGGAAGATAGGGCACATTCCTCCAGTAACGAGGTTCCGCCCTTAGAGCTCTCCACCCCAAGGCAGGGGGGACCTGATGGTTTTGCAGCCCCCGCAGGCCGCGATCTTCCCCTCTGCAGTCAGGTGCTTCCCTCATGCTCCTTATCTGCGCACATCTGGCTTTGCCTAGTGAGAGGCCTGTCGGGCCCACTGAGTCAGTCGGTCCTTACTGGGAAATCTCTCCAAGCCCTCCAAGGTTCTACTCAAGGACACTTGGTTGCGACCGGCCTCGTGGCTGGGACCCAGGTGGATTTGGAATGTCTGCCTGGCTTATCGCGGCGCTGCCACCAGCCGCTTCCCAGTTGGGGCAACTGGAGAAGGGGAGGGAGAAAACGGAGAGAGCCGGGGCAGCACTCCGAGCTGCCCTGCCGACGTCCTCAAGTCTTGCCCGCGTCACCCGGCCTCCTATGAAATCTGACTCGAGCGAGTCACAGGCAGTGCTGGCGACTCCTCCTCGGTTACCGCGGCAGAGAGCAGCCCCAGCGCCGATCCTCTTTGGCTTCGCTCTCGGGTTCCAGAGGGAGTCTGGGCTCAGAGACACCGGTGCCTGTGCGTTAATCTAGAAGGATGCAGGCTAACAAGTCGGTGCTAGGATTAAACAGCAGCGAGCAGTAATCTTAGTATTAAGAAAATTCTCATTTGGAAAAAAGCAAGGAGCGGGGCTGACCGGTTAGCTTAGTTGGTTAGAGTTTCAAGGATTTGGATCCCTATACGGTCCAGCCACCAAAGAGAAGAACTCAAGGAAACCTAACTTTACAAACCAGGGAATGGCATGTTTATTACGGACCCTTTTGCCACCACTGATAGATGATCACTCGGTTTTAAAGAAGCATTTATCTTATAATGAGGGAATTAAAGATGTAAAGCAGGATTTACAATACTTATTAACTATTTCTTAACTGATAATTTATTGAAATAGTTGACTTGGCTTTTTGCTTCTTCTAAAAGTATAGGTGGAGTGAGCTGCAGACTTTTTTTTTTTTTTTTTTAAGATGACTGGTAAGGGGCTCTTAACCCTTGACTTGGTGTTGTCAGCACCACGCTCACCCAAGTAAGTGAGCCATCGGCCGGCCCTTAGCTGCAGACATTTTAAATTCAAAATCAATGAAGGGCCGGCCCGTGGCTCACTTGGGAGAGTCCCAAGTAAGTGAGCCATCCGCCGGCCCTGAGCTGCAGACATTTTAAATTCAAAATCAATGAAGGGCCGGCCCGTGGCTCACTTGGGAGAGTGTGGTGCTGACAACACCAAGTCAAGGGTTAAGATCCCCTTACCAGTCATCTTTAAAAAAAAAATTTTCAAAATCAATGAAGAATAAAAGTTTCAAGTGAGGCTAAATCAGAACAGAACTAAAACTCGATGTGTGTATGTTGTTGGTTTTCCTCTATGTAGTACCCAAGTGACCAGAAAGTCATAAATTCTCTCCTTTATGAGAAAGATTACTGAGCAGCAGGTAGCAAGCCAATGGAACATTTAGAAGTCTGCCTATTCTGAAATGTAGACAAAAATAACATATGTATACAGACATGCATAAACATGTCTGAGATGATTTTATGAAGGAAGAATATGGTTGGATACTAAATTAAACATCCTTCTTAGAGGCTGGAGAAAGCCCAGAAAAAAAGGGAGGTCAAACTTTATAAAAAAAAACATTTAGGTCACTTGTCACTTGTGTAAAATTTTTATGCAAATGTGTAAAGAAGAAAAGTGTTGATTTAAAAAAAAAAAACTACAAATCTTACCAAAGGATTAAACATTTGACAAAATAGAGCTTAAAATTCCCCTCAAAGAGTTTTCACTCAGGGCCGGCCCGTGGCTCACTCTGGAGAGGGTGGTGCTGATAACACCAAGGCCCCGGGTTCGGATCCCATATAGGGATGGCCGGTTAGCTCACTGGGTGAGCGTGGTGCTGACAACACCAAGTCAAGGGTTAAGATCCCCTTACCGGTCATTTTTTTTAAAAAAAAATGACCGGTAAGGGGATCTTAACCCTTGACTTGGTGTTGTCAGCACCACGCTCACCCGGTGAGCTAACCGGCCATCCCTATATGGGATCCGAACCCGGGGCCTTGGTGTTATCAGCACCACCCTCTCCAGAGTGAGCCACGGGCCGGCCCTGAGTGAAAACTCTTTTTTTTTTTTTTTTTAAAAAAAAATGACCGGTAAGGGGATCTTAACCCTTGACTTGGTGTTGTCAGCACCACGCTCACCCGGTGAGCTAACCGGCCATCCCTATATGGGATCCGAACCCGGGGCCTTGGTGTTATCAGCACCACCCTCTCCAGAGTGAGCCACGGGCCGGCCCTGAGTGAAAACTCTTTTTTTTTTTTTTTTTAAAAAAAAAAAAAAAAAAGAGTTTTCACTCAGATCAAAGTTCCCAGGGCCCCCTCTCTGCCCTCTCAAACACACTAGCTTCCTTACATAAAATCACTTTTAACAGTTTTATTTGTATTTTCACATGATTGGACATACCTTTTTTCTTTTACCAACATGATTTTCTTCAGTATAGGTATGCTTTATTTAATCCTTCCTTTACTGCTGATTTGTTTGTTTCCAAATATCTCAATTTCAAACTGCTGCGTTGAGTTTCTACTTTCATCTTGGTGTTTATGGTAGAGGGTTTTTGTAAGAGAATTGCGTAGAAGTGGGATGTTGGGTTGAAGAATGGGCACCTTTATTAAGTTGTTATAGGGCCAAACTGCCCTACAAAATGACATACCAAGTTACCTTCTTACTATGTAGCATGGAAGCTATTTTTACGATACTGATCCAAACTCAGTGTTAGCAATCTATTTTGTCTATGGTGTGACTTTTCTATTTTTTTCACTATCCACCTCCTGTTTTAACTGTACCTTTATAGAATGTTTTAATATCTGAGAGGGTAAGTCTACTCCCACTGTTCAATTGACAGTCTTGGTCATTTCTTTTCTTAAGCAAGGTACACTAGTGCTCATTGTATCCTGTTATTGGTTGGCCAGTACCTGGATCTGAACCCTTGACCTTGGTGTTTTCACATCACACTCTCCCAAGTGAGCCACCAGCCAGCCCCCATTATATTATTTAAACGATGTGCACATTATATATACATGAAAGAGCATGTTTTACCAATTAAAAAGAAGGGGAATTAGAGATGGAAAGAAACAATCTGTTTCATTGTCTGCCTGCATGATCTCTGGGAACTGAGGCCCAAGGCACTAGAGTTTTGTTAACTGTGTTCAGGACAAGAAAGAGGCAAGAAATCAGTGAGGAGGCTGCTGAAAGAACAAAACAATACAGTCCTCCCTTGGTATCCATGGCGTATTGTTTCCAGGACCCCCCACAGAGACAAAAATCCACAGCTGCTCAAGTCCCATGCTAGGCATAAAAGGCATAGTATTTGCATATAACTTACCCATATCCTCCCTTATACTTTATATCATCTCTAGATTACTTATAATAGCAAATAAAATGCTTCATGTCACTTCATTCTCATGGATTCAGTGTAGTACTTGGCACTTGCTGAATTCAAGCTTTCCTTTTTGAAACTTTGTGGAATTCCCACCCCCACCTCCCAAATATTTTCAATCTTTGGTTAGTTGAATCCATGGATGTGAAACCCATAGGTACAGAGGACCAACTGTATGAGTACTAAGGTTTGAGCAGGATGATATCAGGGGACAGGCCAGGTGGATGGCAGGGGAGGTGAGCCCTTCGAGCAGTTTTGTCCACTAGAAATATAATGTGGGCCACATATGTAACTTTAAATTTTCTAGTAGCCACATTTTATTTATTTTTCTGGTTTTTATTTTTATTTTTCTAAAAGATGACTGGTCAGGGGATCTTAACCCTTGACTTGGTGTTGTCAGCACCACGCTCTCCCATGTGAGCTAACCAGCCATCGCTATATAGGGATCTGAACCCATGGCCTTGGTGTTATCAGCAAGTGAGCCACAGGCTGGCCCCTTAGTAACCACATTTTATTTTATTTATTTTGGGTGGTTGGCCAGTATGAAGATCCAAATCCTTGACCTTGGTGTTGTAATACCATGCTTTAACCATCTGAGCTAACCAGAAAATGAAGAAACAGGTAAAATTTGTTTTAATATTTTATTTTACCCAATATCTCCAAAATATTATTATTATTATTATTATTTTTTAAAGATGACCGGTAAGGGGATCTCAACCCTTGGCTTGGTGTTGTCAGCACCACGCTCAGCCAGTGAGCAAACCGGCCACTCCTATATAGGATCCGAACCCGTGGCCTTGGTGTTATCAGCACTGCACTCTACCGAGTGAACCACGGGCTGGCCTATCCAAAACATTATAATTTTAACATGTGATTATTATACAAAAGTTGAGGTATTTTGCTTTTTAAAATATTAATCTAATTATGGCAGCACATCTCAATTCAGATTAGCCATGTTTCATTTGTTCAATAGATATATGTGGCTAGTTACTACCATTGTAGACAACACTGCCTTAGATTCTGGAAAGATCTGAAATGGCAGAGCTGCGGGAGTGGGGGAACATGCTCCATCATTCCCCACTTAAGGATGTTCCAGTAGCAGCTGTGCAGATTTGCTGCCATCACCCTGAAGAACTACAGGATGGAGAGGAAATGCAATTCCTCCATGAACTCTAGATGGCCCAGGCCAAGGCATTTCTTTTCACACCAGTTTCTTCCTGAGTTATTTGGCTTTAGTGTTCATTGTCTCTCTGGTCTATGGCAACAGCTGAAGATATGGTAAAATAGTTTTTACTGAACGGAACTAGTAAATCATGAGTTCCTTCTGAGCAGGTCTTCATTGTTCTCAAGTTTACAAATCACCTGCTGGGCTCACACTGCTCTGTCTTCAGGAATTACCTGAAGTTGGAGGCCTTCGTGGAGGCTCATGAAGCTAAGAATTGAGCTTTGGTGAACCTGGCCCATCCTGAGACCATATTGACATGTTTACA